TATTCTTTGGCACATTAAAATTTATATAGTTAATCAAATCACAATCTTTGTACTTAACATTATTTAAAATAGAGTACAAAGATATCACAGCCTGTTTTCTTCTTTGTAAAAGAGATTTAACCTTAAAGCTATTGATCATAGTTTTATTTGAGATCTTGTATAAGTTGTTTTTTATTACATAGAGGTATCTTGAAAATATTTTTTGTACTTTTTCAATATGTGTGGCTTCCAAGTGCATCCATATTTGTGAAGCATACTGTAGATGGGGTCTTACTAAGGCATTATATAATCTGATTTTGGTGGAAAGCCCAACATTTTTTGTATTTCTGATAAAAAATCTAGAGCTTTTATTGCTTTTTTAGTTATGTGCAAGAAATGGTTATTGAACTTCAAATTAGACTGAAAGACATCTCCCAAATCCTTTAACTCATATTCACGATTTAGTGTGACATCACAGGTCATGTAATAATTATGTAGAATTGGGTTGTGATCATGATTTTAAACAATATAGTCCCTCAGCTGTAAAGGGATTTATATATGTTGGGCAATAAAGGCTATTATTATTTGACTTCAAAAAGTGGCACTTCGCTTTTTTGCTGGCTATTTGTAGTTGGAGACAGGCGAGGAGGGTGAGAACATGTACTATGGCCCTGGTGGTGGGAGCGGTCATGCGACCTGTTAAATTCAAAGTGATGGATTTGTTTTTGCTGGAAATTAAATACATCGATAACAAGCAAGAATTTTCTGTAGTTCGATTTTGCTGCTTCGGGTGTAGGGATTCTAGCCATGTGACCGGCTATTTACCTCTTTCAACAACATTCGGGATATAGCTTAAACGCGGTTTTTCTGAATCTAATAGCGCTTCGATTCCACTGCCCTGCCTGCGTGGAGTGCACATAAAAGATGAGCGATATATTGATACCGGTTACATTTCAGATTGAAAAGTAACTGGTATTGACATATCTCCCACCTTTCGTATGCACTCAGTGCAAGCAGTACAGTAGATTCGAAGACGCTATAAGATATTTTACTTGATATTTTTTGACAAAAATCAGGCTCTATAAAGGGACAAAGTCTATCGATTATAAAAAATCTGGGGTCAAATGGAGGTTGAAAAAAAAAATAGAAATCAAAAACCAAAATCAACATGAAATGTTTAGTAAAAATCAAGCTCTATAAGTGGGGTTAAAATATTGAAAAAAATCCTAACTCGGAAACAGAAAACGATATCAAATCGAAATCTTCAGGAAAATCAAGCTTTATAAGGGGATGATGCCTATTGATTATGAAAAAAATCTAATTGAAAATGTGGGTTAATGTGAAGAGTATAAAATAGAATGCCAAGCATTATATATCTTCATTCTAGTTCATTGTTTAGTTTGTGCACAAATACATGGGGGTGTAGAAAATGGATTTTTGTACATTATAAAACTGCTTGTAATGTCTACCGTCTGTAGACGTATTTTTCTATTGGTGATTGTTTTAAATTAAACATTACTTTTTTACTATTATTTATTCAAACGAACAAAAAATGTTAAACTCGTTTGGTTACGCCAAGATTATGTCTCTCTCGAAGATAAATCTCGAATCCTCACGATCCATAAGATTCGTTTACAAAATATTGAGTTGGACGGTACCAAAATAACAGAACAGTTATACAGGCCTTTGACCATTCTGTAACACTGCTATTGTTCAATTTATAAATTTTTTTAGCTGCAGCTATGTATTTTTTACTTCTGCATACTAATTTTATTTATTGTGATTTTTTGTAGTAGACTGACTAGAGCTATAATTGACCTTTCCCATTATTCGACAATTTCGCATTACTCATGCGCGAAAAAAAAACGCTGGAATTTTAAATGTAGTAATTTTCCAAACACTTTTTGCTATCTCTCTCATATCCTCGCCTTACAACTGTTGGGTTGGTTTTAACGATTCCCCTGTCATCGATTCTATATAGTAGGGAGACACTAAAACTTTTTTTGGTACACATTTGCACAAGGCTAAATTACAAATGTATCGTTAATTCTTAACCTGTAGAAGATGGAAATACTTTGCTGCAATTGAACTAGCAGTGAAATGTCCTGTCAGCAAGCAAGAAAGTACTGCAAGCCTAATTTCAAGGAGGTGGCAGCAAACATTTTTCTACTAACTTTTGATGTAAATAATATCTAAAAATTTCAAGTTTGCGCTTCTATGATAGCATTTTCTACACAGGCTTTATAAAACTTCATCATCGAGTGCTCCATCTCTACGCAGCAAACTATTTCCTTGTTCTACAAGGTAAGACTGAACGAAATATTTGTAATTTAACTTTGGCAAATAACTGAAATAACACACCTAAAAGTGTCACTAGCTACCCAGAGATTATGGATATAAAGATAGGAAACGCAACGACCGCAGCAACGATGGCGTCATCTATGCGTCTCAGATGTTAACTACAAGTATGCGTCGTTTGTAGACAAACCAGTGTTGCCAAATATTTTTTTTGAGAGATTGTACGAGTAGAAAAATGGTATTTCAACAAAAAAATTGTATAATAGATACATGTATAGCATAATATAACTTAAATGGAATGAAAATATAAAAAAACTTTGGCATGATAATTTATTTATCTACTTATAAAAATGTTTACAAGGAAAAAACTAAAGAAAATACATGAAACTTTAAATTAACACATTTAAAGTAATAATTATTATTAAACTATTATTATTATTAATTAATGATTGTCAGTTGAAAGTGAAGTTTTACATGCAAGCTTTTCTTATGCCGTGATAGTCGGTGTTGGTACAAAATCACCATGGTCAAAATCACGATAAGTGAGAACGAAAATGACTGCCTTCATAAATTACGAACGACCTATGAATCTTTGCAAGTAGTTTTCGATTTTTATTGTTTTGTGTTCTGAAGTTGTTGCAGATATTTAAATAAACCTACTAATAAAGTGAAGATCGCATTTCTAAGTATGATCTCACTTAAGCAATCGTACAGCATACAGAGTTAAAAAAATCGTATAAATACGATTTAAATCGTACGGTTAGCAACACTGAGACAGACAGTAGACGTAGACAGCGGTGGACAGTTTGTAAATATTATGAATATGAAGAATCCTGAATTTTAAATTTTGAGTTCATGATTGTGTTATCCTCTAGATGAACTAAGCGAAATAGTTGTGGCTGTTTTTGTGTGAAATTTGAGGACAATAATTATATTTTATAATATTACAATAAGTCAGAGAACGTATTGCATTAGTAACACATGCCACATGAATAAATTTAACAACCCCAATGTGGCGTTCTTTAATTAACCAAAGTAAGTTCTAGTCATGTAAGTAACACAAATAGTAACCAACTTTTGTCACAAAGTAGATATTTATGTATTATTTATTGTCTTCAAACCGTTAGAAAGAAGATTTGATATAGAAAGAAAAATATCTGAATTCCCATTATTGAGTTTGCACTCAAAATTTTTGACACCATTGGCCATTCGTTAAATAAAAACAAAATGTAATGTTACAAATAATGATCAAAAATTAAAAAATATTTGTCATGAATATAAATGTACAATAATTAATCGATAACAGACTGTAAGTGTAGTATTCTTTTTAATAAATAATTTAGCGTAATTACATTGTTAAAATTTATTTACAAGAACTTAAGAGTGCAGTCGATGTTTATACAACCTTTATTATCAGGTTTTTAAATTTCCCGCTGCGTTGTTTGATATCGATGAAAGCGCCACATAGTGCGTCAGATGTTAACTGCGTTAAAGCTGGTCGTTGTTAAGCATTGGCTTCTTATGAGCGTTTCCTATCTTTATCTCCCTTATCTCTGATCCTACCAATACTTTCCGCGTTTGAGAATCCACATCTGATATGTTGTGAATTTTTTATTACGTGATAGAGAATTAGATCTGAATGTAGTTGTAATAAACAAACGCTCTAGACTTTAGGTCACGTGATAAAATGTCAATGACAAGTTAGAAGTTTATACTTATTAAATTTGACTTTTGAGACTACAAATCAACCTAAATTTGAAATATAAACAAAAATTAAACAAACTAATCACTTTTATATTCATGCTAGCATAAACAAAGGATAAATTGACAAACAAGGCTTCACATCTCATTTCAAATCGAGATGTAAAAAATGTAATCTGAACAGGTACATCTGGGATAAACAAACGCAGATGTAGCAGATGTGTCCGATGTGGATAAAAAAACGCTCGAGATGTAAAAAATGCATCCGATGTGGATTATCAAACGCGGCAACTATCAAACACAAAAACAAAATGACATTTGCTGATGTATAATTGGAACTCAGGGTAGGAAACATAACAATAACTTTTTATGATTTTAAGAGGAAGTAGAATTTTCGCTTGAGTAATAGAGATCTGCAATAACGGGAAAGGTCTATTAAAATATAATTTCTTCAGAATTGTGAGTTTCCAAGGCTAACACATTTTTAAGCAAGCGTGTTCATCTTAGTGATTTTTTCTTTTTTTTTTTTCGTAAATAAAGTAGAAAAAGATTAGCGAATTAGGTTAATCTCCAATAGACATAAATAATGATACTTTTTTTTTTTTAACGAAATTTAATAAACCTTAGGAAAAAATATAACCGTGATAATATTGTACAGATTATATAAAATATTTGTTTCCGTTAAAAGATTATTATTAACCAGTGTTTATGTAAAAAAATAAATCATCCGCAATAATTAATTCTTGAATAATTAAAACGTTTTATTAAATGTTAGGAAAAACTTTAAATTCGCCCTGTACTCAACCAAATGTAGCAGAAATATAATTAATTGTGCTGTTGTGTTCCTGTATTTTTTATATTTTTAGGAATTTATTTATTGTGTATTTTTGCTTTATCTTCTGTAACGTTTTGGTATTTGATTAAACCATTATATGAGTTTAGCGTTGTTTTTGTTCATTCGACTTTTTTAATTTAATATTAAAAATCCTACATCTTCCTTATTATCTATATATTACTCTTTAATTTTTTATTTTTAAAATACACTCATAACAACAAATTTAATATAAAATATTTAAACTTATTTTACAACAATCTGGAACACATAGACAAATATCACCTAGCGAATATACTTTAAGGCCAAGATAATTAAATATTTTTTATTTAATCCTAATATAGGAAAATCTCAGTCAATGGTAAGAACATTGTTTTACCATCCTTATTCACAAAAATAGTACAAAAAATAGGTAAAACTTCTCAGGTGCTTGTGATTCCTGAAACGTGGTCACCTACCGTTTAAGAGAAGCTTAAAACCAAATTTACGAAATCTCCCACCCTTGGCATTTTATGTATTTTATAAATGATTTTCCGCGTATATGGTTTTAGTTGTAGTAGAAAATATTTCAAACAAAAGTTGTAGATAACAATATATTCCCGGGGTCCGGATACAAGTGGGGGCCTGGCAGCTTTAGGTGAGGACGTTTTATTTTTTTAGAAGTTTGCCACAAAAGGGAGGAGCGCTGGTTTATGTAAAGTACAAGATGAGGACTTTTGTTTTAGAGATTTCACTAAAACGGATCTCTATAAGTTTTTACTTGAGGACAACAATGAAAAACCTCTTGTCTCAGGTCATGTTGTCATATCAGTGTTCACTAAAGGCGACTGTTGAATTAATAGATATTCAGTCATCCCATGTGATGTCAACATTCGACTAAAAGTGACATTAATAACTTCAGTAGTAGTCCTAAAACAAGGTCACTGACATATTTGACAGAACTAATACTAAATCAAGGGCGGCTCCAGGGGAGGGATATGGGGCCATGCCCCCCTCCCCGAAAATTCGTCCTGGAGCCGTCCTTGTACTTAAGTTGTCATAAAAGTCACTAAGACCGGTATTTTTCACTAAATTTCTTGCAGATCACGTGGGATACGGGTATTAAAGCCCTCTGTTTTTACCTCCAACCGTAACGGAGATATAGTCCCAGACAACACACCAAATCCCAGAGATATCCACAGAATATCTTTTGTGGATATCCAATATATCCACAGGATATCAGAAATATTCCGTGGATCTAATATGGATATCCAAATGTCCGTCTATATCCAGAATATAGAAGATATCCTAATGGATATTCAGCAAAATATCTAATGGGTATCTTCCAGAAAATACAAGAAATCACAGATATATCTACAGAATACATTTTGTGGATATTCAATATATCCAATATGAATATCCAACCAAATGTCCGTCTATATCCCAGGATATAGAAGATATTCGGATATTCAGCAAAATATTTTATGGGTATCTTTAGTAGAGGTTCATAAGTAACCCAATGATTATTGAATAACGTCGAAAGAAAATAGCAGAGATAAAAAATATTTTCAACACTCAAAATATTTTCAACACTCTGCCTTTGATTTTGCCCACTAAGGAGAAAGTCATCCTTATTAGGACTCTTCAGCAATAAATGAAAATTCTCGACTCCAGTCTCTAATTTCGATCGAACTCAATTACGGCGGGTCGAGCATGAGTAGATGCGATAGTGGTATCGCCATCTATACTTAGTAAGCAGAATCAAATAACATCTAGTGGATATCCACGATGGTTTGCGTTCGCGCCTAGACTTTGATATATTTAGTGGATGTTCATGGGATATTGAATACACCTTAAAAAAATTAATTTTAAATATCTGAACGGTACTATTAGCCACAATGGCGTAATTTTTTAATAATTTGCTATATAATTACTATTATTTATGGACATTTGCATGTCTGTAAATTACATTTCATGGATATAAAATAGATATCTACCATGGACTGGACATTCAGTGGATATTGGGATGTTCAGTAGATATCCAAAGGATTTGGTGTGCTGTCTGGGGTGCGTCGAATTTCAAATAGTTCTATATTGAAAATGATTTAATACTCATAGGTATACATGTCATTATATTCGACCTACAACATTACCCCAGAGAGCTGTTAATTAGGCCTTACCAACGACCTGTCAAAATGCCGACAAGTGGGAACTGACAGTTTAGATATGGCAAACCTGTGTGTCTGTTGTCATTGACAGGGTCAATGATACATAATATTTATGCTGCGTTTGAGAATCCACATCGGATGCATCTGAGATGTAAAAAATCTTTGATCACGTGGTTCAGTATACGTAAATGTAATGGGACAGATGTGTCCGATGTGGATAAAAAAACGCCCGAGATGTAAAAAATGCATCCGATGTGGATTCTCAAACGCAGCAATAGTTGTATATGCTGCGTTTGAGAATCCACATCGGATGCATCTGAGATGTAAAAAATCTTTGATCACGTGGTTCAGTATACGTAAATGTAATGGGACAGATGTGTCCGATGTGGATAAAAAAACGCTCGAGATGTAAAAAATGCATCCGATGTGGATTCTCAAACGCAGCAATTGACATCTCAAAGCGGGTCGTTTTGCGAGCAGGCATATTGCCTCACATCAGAATTGGTTTAACAAAAATGTGTTTTAAAACCAATTTTCAGCCTGTTTAAAAAAAATAATTACCTACATTTTTACTTCAAGGCATAAGCTTGTGTTTATTTTGAAAGACATGTATAATCAATCTATATAACTATCTATATCATTGACCCTGTCAAATCACCAGGCCCACCAAACCATTGCTGCGTTTGAATATCCACATTGGATGCATCTGAGATGTGATTTTTTTTTATCACGTGATAAAGGATTAGGGTATGGTCCGTTTTTAACCGACTACTAACCCCTAGTAACCAGGATTTTTTGACAGCGGTTCCTGAAAAAAACTAATTTCTTGGTTACTTTGGACCACGGCCGAGATTTACGTCACTTTTGTGACAGATTGACATTCGACTTAATAGTAACTGTAAAAATATAGCGGTTAGTGAATTGACGTTTGAGTCACTATTTTCAGGTAACCGCGTCCCTAATTTAACCGATTTTTCAGGAATGTCAAGCAGAGCTGTTAGTTTTGGACCGAGTAACCGATATTTCGGTTAATAACGGACCATACCCTTAAATGTAGATGTAATAAACAAACGCTCTAAACATAAAGAAATGACAAAGTTTATACTTTTTGCGTTTGACTTTTGAGACTAGAAATCAACCTAAATTTGAAATCTAAACAAACTAATTACTTCTATATTCACGCTACTATATAAAAAAAGGATAAATCGATTAACTTGTAACTGAATCGGCATCTGGCTTCACAGAACACCTACTTTCTGGCATGGAACGAACATCTCATTTCAAATCGAGATGTAAAAAAATGTAATCTGGACAGCTACATCTCGGATAAACAAATGCAGATGTAGTAGACGTATCCGATGTGGATATTCAAATGCATCACATATCATAACCTGTCAAAACCAATGAACTGGAGCGCGTTCAGGAAACACGCTCCGACCAAAAAGAGCGCGATCAATTTGGTCTTGGTTCGTTCAAGAACAGTCGAGCGTTCAATTTGAACGTTTAGCTACTCTCGTTCAGAAAGTCGAGTCAAATTAGTCTGGAGTGCACTCTTTTTTACCCAGTTTGGACTGGGTACATTTGAGTAAGGGTCGGTTTTTCAATGTCCAGTCAAAGTGACTGTTACGTAGCCGACAGCTATATCGTAGCTGGCAGTCAAAGTCCCTGTTACCGATGGAACATGGATGGAAGTGTTTTTCATCACGAATTTAACTGCTAGCTACGTAGTCTAATAGTTTTTATTTATTCTTAGACAGGTTGGCATATCTGCTAATTTGTTAAATGGTTTTTATTGGATAATTTAAATTTTCCGCTTTACATATCGTGTCTTGTGTTGATCGTCACCGACCTTCACATAAAAATTGTTCTATTTTGCTTCCATTTTTCTTTAAGATCTTGTTACCTATTTTCTGTTTTTGGGCAATTGGTGATTTAGAAAAAAGAGAAAATATCTAATTACGCGGCATCAGATAGAGCCCTACTATTGAAATTTGCTTATCTTACAGAATGTAAAAAAAGGAAAATGCAATATCACGGAAACGAAATGAGAAGGTTGCAGAAAATTTTTATAATAAAATTCTTTTCATCAATATCAAAATAATTGGGCCATTCCCTTACAATACACGACACGGTCATCTTGGCTCATATTAAATAATTTTAATAATTTCTTTGTCATCGTTGCTGTGAATGTATTCAAATAAATCAATTTTTGAGAAATAATAACATTAATAGGGGGGTGGGTTGGCTCAGTGGTTAGAGTCATGACTTTGAGATCGGAAGGTCTCAGGTTCGAATCCCACCGTTGGCCGGGATTTTTTCATTTAATTTAATTATTTAAAATTAATTCTGATGCCTTGGTAGGATTCCCCACTCGACCATTTACTGTTGGGTTCTAATTAACAGTGCTGTTCCTAAAGTGGCGCTGGGAAACAGTAACAAAGCCTACACAGAACACGAGGCTAATGGCCGTAGTAGTCGACGCCGATGACACCAAATTAAAAAAAAAAAAATAACATTAATAAAAATATTAACCTCTAACTTTGACAAACAACGTCCTACGCATGTACAATAAATAGCTGGCGGCTATCTATACGAAATTACCACTTGCAAGTGTCGGTTACGGTTACAGTCAAAATAGCTGACGGCTATCGTATAACTGGAGGTCGAAAAACGTTCTGACAGTCAGTGGCTGACGGCTATCTCCGTAGCTGCCAGCTATCCTAAATAGCCGGAGATTGAAAAACCGGACCTTAATTTGACAGAACATAGAGTTCTTTTGTAGAAGTTTCTGTTTCATATTATTTTTGTGTGTCATAAAGGTGTTTGTACATGGCATTTTATAGGGTTAAGTTTGTTTTAAAATAAACAAACTAAAATTTCTTGTCTTATTGACTTTATATGCCGCGTTTGAGAATCCACATCGGATGCATCTGAGATGTTGTGAATTTTTTATCACGTGATAGAGAATTAGATCTGAATGTAGATGTAATAAACAAACGCTCTAGACTTTATTTGGTCACGTGATAAAATGTCAATGACAAGTTAGAAGTTTATACTTATTAAATTTGACTGTTGAGACTACAAATCAACCTAAATTTGAAATATTAACAAAAATTAAACAATCTAATCACTTTTATATTCATGCTAGCATAAACAAAGGAAAAATTGACAAACAAGGCTTCACAGAACACTTACTTTTCTAGCATGGAACGAACATCTCATTCACATCTCATTTCAAATCGAGATGTAAAAAATGTAATCTGAACAGGTACATCTGGGATAAACAAACACAGATGTAGATGTAGTAGATGTGTCCGATGTGGATAAAAAAACGCTCGAGATGTAAAAAATGCATCGGATGTGGATTCTCAAACGCGGCAATAGATCATTCATTATAATCTCGATTGTAAATAGGTAAATATTGAAATAAAAAGAAAAAACAACTAAACAAAAATAAATAATTAAAAAATAAAAACTATACGAAACACGAATAACAACGAGAAGCGAGAAACATCAAACATTATATAAGGGAATAAAATGTCTGTAAACAAATAACTGTAAAAAACTTTAATTTTCAAATTCGTTGACTTTTACTTTCGTCGCCGTTCAGAAATGTTGGGCCAGTGAGAATTACTCTAGAGTAGTCTGGGCAAACGATCTAAGAAAATTAGTCTACTCACGTGTAAAATCATCTGAACGCGCTCCTGGAGTGGAGTAGAATGCCAATGTGCATGTTGTATTAATAGAACTAGGTGCGACTCTATGGGTGCAGCCATTTTTATTGTTCATCTCACTCGGGAGTATTTATAATAAGCATTTTCTGTTTCACATTGTTATTGTCCAGTTCACAATCTGGTGGATCACTATTTTTTACGCAACTTTTTAGTTAAAAAAAGTAATGAACTTTTATGGAGCCAAAATGAACGGTGTTGTAGAAATTTGTTTCTAAACAGAAGTCTGCAAGTTCTTAGGAAATTTTTAACTAATCAATATTTCTTAATTTTAACCCAGTAGGCCTGGGTCAAATTTTAATAGTTCCTGTATTTGACAAAATCTTGGTAGATCAAATTTGAAAAAAAAATTTTGATTTCAAACTTTCAATATCCTGTATCTCGGCAAGTAAGAACTTTAAAGTTTAATGTTCCTATATCAAAATTCATCAATTAACGAGAGCTCTCAAGTGTAGGTCGAATGTAGTGACACCCTCTATATTATTTGAAACAGTGAATGAAGAATAAATGACAAATGTACTATATTTAATATCTAAAGCATGTTATAGTGATAGTTTTCATGGTCAATAAACTTAATTTTTTACTTTGTTTTTTTTTTCGACAATTCGTCGTTGCTAATTCCGTTGTTTTGGCGGCACCCTCTTCCAAACAGTCGCCTTCAGTGAACACTGATATGACGACACAACTTGAGACTGAGGTTCTTTAAAGTGTTCTCTTCTGAATTGAATGACAATATTTTGATACAGTGCTTACATACATAAAAAAATATTTTTGGGTCGAAAAATCAATAGAAAAAAAAATAGTTTTTGCGAACTTTAGAGGCCTTTACTTTTTTTTGCATTTATCATCGTAATGAACCAATGAGATAAATTGTAGAAAACATTTTTGACTGCAACTTTTGTATGAAACATTTTCTATTACGACTCGCCATTTTCATCAATAAAAAAATACAACAAAATGCAAAAAATTGGTTGATTTACAAATCACAATCGTGTGAAATTCTTTTTTTTTTTTTTGTTTGAAAACATCCCTTTTTTTCCAATTTTTCCTGTACTAAAAGAATTTTTAAATAGATATCTACGTGTAAATCCTCAAAGATAGAAACGTCAATTCAGAGAAAAAGCAGAGTTGGAAGATTTAGTTATTTTTGAATAGTTACTATGATAAATAACATACAAATAATTAAGGTTGTTTCTTCAAATCATTAACAAATTAAATATTTTTCTGGAAAAAATCGATATAAGAACATGTAAAGAATGTCAATTTACCAAGATTAATGCCGATTTTTTTCACCTGAGTAAGGTAACACGTAGATTTACTTGGCAGATTAATTAACTATAACCTAAAGCCTAATAGTTCTTTTCAACTTTATTCAGAGGTGAAAAACAGGCCCTTAAAATAATTAAATAACAGTTGTGACATATCGCCCAACTCTAAAGGACATTCATTTAAATGAAGTTTATATCTTTAAGGATTTACATGTGGGTAAATTTAAAGATGCTTTGTGATTTAGGCTATAAGTAATAAAATGTTAATTATTATACGTGATAACATGCAATACTCAACTCAAAAGTATATGCCATTAAAAAAAAAATTAAACAGTTCATAAAAAGTTTGTAATTGAAATAATATAATATTTCCTTTTTAGCCTTAAAATATATCGAAATCGTGAGATATATTGTCTAATATCATAATGATGTTAATTTAAAATTAACTTATATTTCGACTCGACGAGCAGTCAATAATTTCAGTGAGACATCTCCCGAATTCTTCGATTATGAGGCGTTTTGTCAGTTCTTCGTCCTGCATATTTTCGTCGGCATTGTCTGATATCGTCAACAAACACTGACACGTTGCTTCTATGACATCGTCCGTTATAAAATTGATGGTTTGTTTTCTGAAAATAAGAAAATAATAATAAATATAATAAAATTAGTGTCATATTAATATACAATATACAAAAGGCCCACCCTAAATATCTCGAGATACAGGATTCAAAAAATCCCAATAAAAAAAAAAAACCGCAAAAGTAGGTAAATTTTCTTCTAAGGGAGATATATCTTTCTCGCATACCCTCAACTGTCACGTAAATCCTCTCCGCCACTCTAACCAATACAATTTAAATAGGTAAAGTACCAAGTATGACCAAAGAAATAGAGGGTAGAATGATAAGGTACCGTCTGTGCATGAATCACGAGTGTAGAACTTGTGCATGATTCAACCGTCCACTTTTACACACGTAAATGATAAGGAGAGGTTACCCTGAAGCACTGGAAACAAATTCTAGGCTTGGCTTTCTTTAGTCATTATAATTATGTTCAGCTTTGGTTTTTGTTACGGTTGTGGCTGTTGTAAGCTTTTTTGGCGTCTGTCATTGTACAGGCTGGTAGCATCTCACTGTAGCAGAAATGTCAAAATTCTTGGCCCAAATTAAAAATCTTTGTAAATGATTTTTTCTTTCTTTAAAACGGGTACAAAATTGGTTTAAGGTATGGGGGAGATCGCGACACGTTGAATTAAATAATAAATATAGATACTCATACAAGCAAATGTTTATTTATAATTTTTTTCAAACAAAATATTGAAATCAATTTTCATTCATCGTCACCATTATAATCAGCACTATCATCGTTATCACTACTTGAGTAACCTATTATTTTACAAAAATTTTCTTTCTTGACTGTCTTGTTCTTTAAGTAACTTTTTCCCACTTCACAGGAAAAATGTGTTATTTTTTTTTAAATAAATTGTATTTTTAAGTTATGATTTTTAAAATTTTGAACTGCCTAAAGTAACCTTTACCATACACCAATGAGTTTAATATATTTCAGAAAAATCAGGATAATGTTTCTCAATATACTAAAAAAATAATTTGCCTTTCAGTTGTTTTGTTATATATTTTTATTAAATTTGAATTCCTTTGAAACCCCCCTTCTACGCTCAGATCTCGACAAAAAAAAAATAATAATAGCCTTCAAACTGTGAAAGTCAATTAAAATTTATAAGTAGTAATTTTGTGTTATTGATGAATATTAATATGAAGAGGGGTCGTTAAACATAAATGACACTTGTATTGTGTTTCGCAAGTATTCGCAGAATTTATTTATTTGTCCTGTTGCAGAACAATCGATAATATAAGTTAATTACAATAATATGACGGAAATCATAATCATTGATCTACAGGTTAAAACGACTAAACCGACAATTCCGGAAGCAGAAGCGGATGATTAAAACGCACCTGATATTTTGCTTGCTGCTGTCAGTGTCAGTGAATAATATTTTTGGAATCACAGTTTATTTCTAAAGAATCAGTTAGCTCACTCGGACCAGTTGAAAGTTCTAAAATAACATCCACTCCAGGGATACAAATTCAGGATACGCAGAAGACTGCTGTTTTATTATAGGCGGTTGTCCTATATTGTATTATCCGAGTTGCGCAGTGTATAAACTGGAACATTGAGATCAAAAGTGCCGACGCAGAGTGAGCGATCTGATTCTTTAGTTATAAACTGTGGCACAGGAATCAAAATGGCCGCGCCTTATGTTGGGCGTGTCGGACCTCTCTCTTGCACTGTATAGTAATCAAAGTATGTGGCCCTGATGCAGCTGACTGACAAAGAAACGGTTGTGTGTGCCTGAATAGACATAGGAGGAGCATTGGACAACACGCCACACGATTCTGTAAAAAGAGCACTTGTATACAGAGGAGTATATAGCACCACATCCAGGTGGATGGCTCAGCTGCTATCTATAAGAACTGCAGAGACACAGATAGAGCAGGACACCATCTCTATCTGCACAACCAGAGATGTTCTATTTCTACTAATATGGAGCCGTAAACTAACTTCTATGCAGATTGACTGACCTTGGTATACCTTGTCAAGGTTATCTTGATGACAGTCATATTTACTAAAAGCTGTGTAATATAGTCCAAAGAGGACTAGAACACACCAAAGGTGGTGCCGTGAGGTGGGACTTAGAGGGAAAGCCCACTCACGCGACGTGTCACGCGCGATTTGCCGCGCGCGACCTGCCGCATGCGATTTTTAACAGACGACAAGCAGCGACACAGACATTCAGTATCAAAATAGAGGTGGAAGAAGTAGCAATGGTGTTGTTTTATTCTGTTCGTTGGCGGAAAAAAATTGAAACGACGTAGGTACTGGGTTCATCCATTATTTCTAGATCCTTATGTAAAAGGTGCATTTAATTTATTATATAAGGATTTACGTCAACACAAAGATAAGTTCTTCAAATATTGCAGAATAAGAGTAGTGTCATTTGACGAACTGCTAGCGCAGATTCCCGAACAAATATTTTTGTCGCTATTTTATTTCAATTAACTGTTCAATATTTGAGGTCGGTCTTGAATATCGGATATAAATTCATCTATATCAATACAACTGTTGGACATGTTTTCACTGGAACTGTCGAAAAGTTAATAAGAAACTCCACCTCTCAACTGACGTTTCGCACGCGACTTGATGTTTGTATGAGTGATGCTCCATATGTATCCATGATAACGCAGGCCGCGTGCGGCAGGAAAATCGCGGGTTTGTCATTTCTAAATTTAAGCTGCGTGCGACCACGCGATAGAACCGCGTTAATGAGCTTTGAGTCATTTAAAAACCTCTAAAGTTCTGCCGCGTGCGATGCCTCGCGATCATTCGCGCGCGACCTGACGCATAAGTGGGCTTTCCCTCTTAGTATAAACCCCACGAAAACTTCACTAGTAGCCTTTCAATGAAAAGAAAACTCAATCTCAAAACCGTTAAATTAGATGGGATAGATATAGAATGGAAAAATTAAGTTAAATACCTGGGCCTAACCCTGGACAATAAACTTCTCTGGAACTTACATGAGAAGGAAGTAGTTAATAAGGCCACAAAAGCCCTAATGGTATACAGTAACTTTGCGGGTAAATGATGGGGATGTAACCCGAATACACTGCGACGGGTTGTATACTGCAATAGTCAGAATCTTTACTTACGGGGCTATAGCCTGGAGCAACAGAACTAGTTTAGCTACTACAAGAGCTAATATCTCAAAATTACAAAGACTAGCCTGTGTTTGCATCACCGATCCAATGGGAACCTGTCCTACGGTCGCAATGGAGGTGATCTTAAACCTCGCCCCTCTACATTTAATGATAGAGAATGTGGCAAAAAGGACACAATATAGAATGATCAGGAACGGAGTAATCAGACGAAAGCCTATTAGATTCAGGACCGAAGATAACTTGGGATAAACTCCAGGATGAAATGAAAAAGAAGTACAGTCTTGTGAAAAACCTCAAAACCACAGAACTGGGCTACAAGAAAGAATGGAGCCAATAATATATCGTTCTTGCAACCGAAAGACATGCTTTTCAATGGTATACGGATGGTTCCAAAACCATAGAAGGAACTGGAATAGGAGTGTATAGGCCTAGAACCAGGCACTCTGAAAGTTTGGGAAAATACCCAAGAATCTTCCAGACGCAAACTCACGCCATTGAGAATTGTATCCAATTTAACATCGAGAGAAACTATCGTAGACAAGAGATTGTCATCATGTCCGATAGCCAAGCAGCTCAAAAATGGTCTGGAGATGCCTAGGAAAATTGAATGAGCTAGGCGATGAAAATAAAGTTACTCTAACTTGGGACCCAGGATATAACGGGGTACAGGGTAACGAGATTGCAGATAGTCTCGCAAGGAAAGTGGGCTCAAACACCCTTTGTGCGACCTGAGCCGTTTTGCGGTATCAGCAGTAACACAATATTAGGAGATTTTTTTAAAGAATTGGGGAGTAGAAGAACCGATAATTGGAACAATCTCTTAGGGCTAAGACAGGCTAAGATACTTCTGGGTGAATATAACCAGAAAATATCGGAAGCCTGTACCTGCCTGAGCAAAAACAGGCTACATATTGTAACAGGGATCCTCACTGGGCATTGCCGACTCAAAGGACACCTTAGTAAACTGAGAGTAGTAGAAGATAGTGACTGCAGATTCTGTTAGAAGGACGAAACCTCCATTCACTGAATGTGTAGCACTCTAGAATCCAAGGGCACTATAACTAGGAGCATATCAAATAGAAGAGGAAGATTTACCTAACTTGAAGCTACTCCAAATCCTACACTTCCTTGAGAAGATAGAATTGGATGGGGTCGTCATAGGCATTGAGACATTTCTTTGCTGTATTAGCGACATAAGGGGGCACAATAGATATTTTAGGTTAAAGTGTATTAACACCCCATTCCCAACATAACATAAAGTTTACAAATATAATACATAAAAACGTTAAAAATATAAAGGCAAAGGCCAATCTTTTCACCTCTGAGTAAAGTTACATGTAGGTTTACTTGACAGATTAACGAACAATGGCCCTATAGTTTAATCAGCAAGTAGTTACTTTCAACTTAACTCAGAGGTGAAAAGATTGGACCCAAAATAATTATAGTGATATTAGCTTAGTCAATGTGTAAAGTTTCAACTTTTGAGGTCACTTTTAAGGTATGTTGAAAAAATTGACTGGAAGGTGCTAATTTCAAATAGCTCTAGGTTAAATCGAAATAAAATCAAGTCTAATATGCGAGGTTTTCCCTTGGTAGAGACGCAAAAAACCACTTGCTATTAGAACATCTGTTCCGTGCTATTAAAAATGTATAATTAACTTGTCAAACAATTGTGTTTCATGCCTGTAGTATTAGAATCATTTGATAGAGCGTCCACAATAAGTTCAGAACCAGTATTTCACTCATTTCGTCAAAAATTCTAATACGTCGTATTGGAATAAAGTTATCGATATTAGTATATCAGTACACACTAAAATAAAAAAAAAATTTATAAACCAAATGTGTATCTTCTTCTATTTTAGTCTTCACATTTAACTTGCGGCACATGAATTTATTTTTAATAATTTCAATGAAATAACCTCGTTAAAAATAAATTATTTTTAATCTTACCTTGTACTTGAACTTCGCCTAGGTCGCATTTGAGCATTATTTTTATTATTGACAGCCATGTTTTCGGAGAAAACTGGAGTATTTGTAGCTTTTTCAGTCACGTGCCTCATGTTTTTCTTTTCAACAGAATCTTCAATATTTCGACATCCGACACATTTGCAATTATTAGAACAAGCAATTTTAGCCTAAAATTAAAACAACATTAATGAAAGAACAATGCAAAAAAATTAAAAAATTGACATTCTTGTAGGATGTATTTATTTGCAATGTCTTCTAGAAAGGTAATAACATTTTGGAATGCTAAAGGGATATTGCTCCCTGATTTTTTTTACGTAAATAGTTAATTAATTCACAGGAAAGTACTATCTTTTGAACCAAGTAGAAAAGGAATATAATATAATCAAGCGTTTGATGGCAAAAATAAGCAATAACCTCAGAATTCTTTCGGACTACACCAATATTGATGAAAATTTCCAATTAAGCTTATCTTACCCTCCTCTTGAAAAGTTATATATTCCTGATGTGCGCTTTTTATTTTTAGGGGTTGAAAACTATCTCTTTTGGCAAATAAATTGAAAACCATATATTTAAGCTTTACTTGGATTAAAATTATGTTCAACTATTTAAAAAATATATATTTTATAATATTGAACATAATTGTATTGTTTTAACACTTAAAAACCATCACTTATGACGAAATTGAATAAAAAATAGTTTTCAGCAGCTTAAAATTTTTTAATACAGTGCAACCTCGATAATCCGAACCCACGCTAATCCGAACGCAAATCGTGATGCGAAATAGTTCGAACGCCGCCTCTGTAATCCAAACGCTGACAGGGAAAGACCTGCATTACATTTACATACATACATATGTAGTTTGATAATGCATTTAAATGTACAAAAACCAATATACATACATATATCTAAAGGTCTAAAAATGTGTAAGAGCTGTTTTATTGTATATTCGTTAATTCAAACAATTCGATAATCCGAACAAGGTCTGACAATTAGGTGTTCGGATTAAAGAGGTTGCACTGTATTTCATTTACAATGAATTGAAATCCCCTCAGTGTTCATATTATTATTTCTGATTTATTGCAACGTTAGAACCCTCAAAAAAATTGAAACATCTTGAAATTTTGTAATAATGCAATGAAATAAAATTCCGGGCCTGTTATATATTTTTTTCTGATTTATTGCAACTGCTTATCCCTCAGAAATCGTCCTTGTGGTTAAAATTAAGTATTAATGAGTAAATACAATTTTAACGTAGGTACATTAAAATATTGTTTTATTATTGAAATTCTATACATCATCACAAAAACTATCATAAATATCGACATCGTCCTCTTATTCTGTAATTGGAAGACAATTTTGACAGTTGTTATCGGAACACGTTCCATATTTTGAATTAAAAAATGCCTGACTTATCGACAACTACAAGTTGCTTGCATCCTTTTTTTGCAATTACAAAATATCACTTTAATTAGTTCTTCTGGTGCGGGCATATTTACCATTTTAATTGGATGTAACGATTCTTCATGTATTAGTATATAGTTATACACATATGGATACTAAAATATGTGTTTAGATGTATTTATAAATGCTCCGAAACTGCCGAGATAGCAGTAATTCACATGCGTTGAAATTTTCACCAAAAAACGTGAGTGGTTTTTTTTTATCGATAACTTCCTTAATTTTAAACATATATCTAATTGCCAAAAAAAACTCATTTTGTAGGGAATTTCAAGGTCTGCAAGGCATGTAAAGTTGAACTTTCTCAAACATTTCACCTTAGAAATTTTTAAATAGAAAGGGCTCGGGGAAGGTGGTACTCACGCTCAAATTCAAGCTATTTTATCAATCAATTTTATCATGTAGAAATAAATTTAAAAAAGCTAATTTTTTTTTGGAAAAAATATAAATTTTTATATTTTTGCATTTTATGCGTATTTTCTTTAGTTTCTGAATTATTGTGAAAAAAAAAAAAATATTTTCGAAATCTTCAAAAATTATTTCCAAATTATATCAAACTTTTCCAATTCAAGCATTCTAATCCGTTCAAACTTCTAGAACACATTGTTAGTGCCTATAGTTGAATGCCGAAATAATAAGAATGCTGTCATATGTTATTGCGCCAAAGTTTGGAGAAATTTTTGGAAGTTACAGAACAAGGGTTTTTTTTTCAGTGATGGGCATATATTGTAATTTCATATATGGCACATCTGTCAGCATTCTTCACACATTCTTGGCATTACATTACTGTCTATTATTTCTGTAGTCAACTATAAATAAAGTTAATATTAAATGGATTACTATCATTTTAATTCTCTCGGACAAGCCATTGGCTCCATTGCAGTTTTTCTTCGGAAAAATAAGACAACCACTCTATTTTCATGATAATTCTGACAGTATAAGCTGATTTTAAACATCTTTTAAAGCACTAAAAAGTACTTATGAGTTTTCCTCTAAAAATTTGTTGTATTTTTGTTACTTAACGTTGAAATATTCCAATACAATTTTTGGCGAACAAGTTTTTGTTTCCAGTTTGGTTTTGATAAAATGTTTGTTTTTGAGTAATTCGTAAAAAACATGTATTTTTGAATAAAAAATAACATTTTCAACCGCTCTTAATAAATATTTATTTATCAAAAAAACTTCATAAACTTTTTTTTAGAATTCTCCAATTTATCGATATCTAGTTTTTTGAGTGAAAGCGCACATCGTCACTATATAACTTTTCTTCGTTGAGCCATTCCTTACTTACTGTCCAAATTTCACGTCAATCGGTTTAGTCCAAAAGAATTCGAAGTGAAAAACCGTCAAACAATGGACTAATATAATATATAGTACATGGAAAAAGCCAGGATTAGCAAAAGAAAAGAAATTTTTATCAGGATAATGCTCATCCTCATACAAGCGCCGCACAGTGGCGCTACTCTATACCTTATGGGGTTGGAGTGTCTGAGGAGATTTTTTTTAAATGTTCGTCTTGAAATTGCCTATGGATCCCTCATTTTCGATTTTCGTTTTACGTCTTCATTTTTCCGGAATTCTAATCCAAAAATTGGTTTTTATGCAAAAACGTAGATTTCCCGCAAAAACAGAAAGATCAACATAGTGTCTAATAGTCTTCAAAACTCCAACCATCCATTAGATGCTTAAGACTTTCACTATCATCCATTTTTTTTCGAAAAGTTCCAGGAGAAATTAGTCATGGTTCATTAATGATGACCTATTATAATGCAAAATGGCCACTTTTATCAAGAAACTGAATTACTCGAAAAGTGTTTAGAACCATTTATGGAACCTTTCTGAGGCTTTTCAGAATTTCGGGAAAATCTAGAAAAATGTCGTATCTGGACATTTTGTGAAATGGCCAAAAAATCGGCCAAAAATTCTGGTAAAATTCGTGCGCATTCCTCGAATAAGTACAAACAATTTTTGTTCAATGATATTTTTTCCAATACCATCCCAATGTTGAGTAAAATGCGCTTCCTGTTATTTGAAAATTTTTGGATGATTATGACCATTTAAAGGGTAATTGAAAATTTTTGACCGTATTCCAAGTAGTCTTTTAGGGTCTTTGAAGACGAACATTTTCCCATAAAAAATTTTGGTAAAATTTCCATCTCGCGTACCGTAGGATCACTTTTGTGCGGGAAATCTACGTTTTTGCATAAAACCCAATTTTTGGATCAGAATTCCGGAAAAATTAAGACGTAAAACGAAAATCGAAAATGAGGGATCGCTAGGCAATTTCAAGACGAACATTTAAAAAAAATCACCTCAGACACTCCAACCCCATAAGGTGTAGAGTAATTTGGAAGGCACAGTGGCGCGAAGCGCCACTGTACGCCGTCGAAAAGCAATAAATTTTTTGTCACGTCTCTTTATTCTCTCCACTTTTAATTTACGACATACACACGTTGACATAATATTGTCTACCTTAAACACCGTGTGGTTAACTATAATTTTAAAAGTTAATACTTAAGAGCAAACTGGACCTTCCACGATAAATATATTTCACCTTTACTGCCTTACATAATTCTTACATGTCTCATTCCGCGCCGTCCGCTGTTAAGATGCAACTAAGAATGGGCGAATAGATAAATTAAGCGGTGGCATCACCTTACAGCGATTTAAACGAAAAACGTGGGAAACCTCATTTAAATTTTATTTAATATTAAAAAAAAAAATCGACAAAATTTTGTAGAAAACATTTTTTTTCCAAAATTCGGTTAAATAAAATAAAAATACGTATTGAAGGTTTACAAAAAAAATTATGAAAGGTCACGGAAACAATTACTATTTCTGAATTTTCATAAAAATCAAAAATAATGGCGCTAGAAGTATCCGCAGTTTTGTGAATGTCCGGTTTGCTCTCAATGAATTTTGTACTCCACACACATAGAGATATCCTGCAAAAATATCAATTTGTTTCGTGAATAAAAAAAGTATTTAATTCTTGGATATGAGTTTTCTAGATGCTTACTTACTATACCTGTTAGTGGGTTTCTATAAACAGGATAGGGAACATCTTTAATGATATGGTAGAAAAAAGGATTTCTGGGATGGATCAACAGGGAATCTTTCTGAAAGAGATTAATTTCTGGAATTTAAATTCAAATTGCATCATTTTTATTGGTTGTTGGTTTAGTTTATAAAAAATCTAGTTTAGTCAATTTTAAGAAGAAACAAACAGCATCAGAATTTGTTGTATCTTTTATAAAAAAATTCTATAACTTTAAATAATGGATTAAATATGATACAGCAGAGATTCAAATCAGGTGTTCGTAACTCACAAAAGAGCATTAAGAATCGTAGCAGACTTAAAATTCAATGAATCTTGTAAGGGGCAGTTTAGGAGATTTAATCTGCCATGATTAGCTTAAAAGTGGTTTCTCCAATTTTATGCTAAATTGAGTTATGGTGTTTAATGCATACAACACATCATTTTAAATATTTTTTTTTAAAGCTAAAAAGTGGTAAATGTCTTTTAAAATAAAAATATATGTCCCATAAAAATAGTCACAATTATTAATCGGCTTAAAAGTGGTCTTCATTCATTTTCTCCGTTTTATTTGTTTGGCAGATACCACTTTTAAGCAAAGGACGACAGTCATTTACTCACCTTTTATGGAATATTTATACAGGAGTGCTCGTTATACTTCTTTAAGAATAGAAATAAATTTAAAATATTTGAACCTCAGAATAAATATATATACCACAAGAAATATCTGCTACAACTACCCTATACATAGATTAATGCTAACTGAAAAAAGTGCAAGTTATATCTTATAATAAATTGATTTCTGAAGTAAAGTTAACAGATAGTTTATCAGTGTTCAAAAAAAAAAAAAAATAATGATATTTAAAATTTTAGTAACAATCGAGCCTTTCTCTGTTAATGACTATAGAATACCAAATAATGTAAATGTCGGATAGCTGTAATATAATCTTCTTTTGGGTGACGATTATTCCACTAATTTTACATTATGTACAAGTATATGTATAATAATGTAACTTTCTTGAAATAAAATATATTTATTATTATTATTAAAAAAACAAGAGGTACTGAATAATAAAAAAATTATACGTAATAAAGGCCATTCCACCATCCTACAATACCGATTTAAGTCGTTTGAAACCGTTTGAACTACCGATGTGTACTATTATTAGTCTGCGCCCCTTTCCTGATGGTGGATTTAAACCAGTAGATAAATTATTTAAAAAAGCCTGTCTTCGACTTGTAACAGTTTCATCTTGCCAAAATTTATTTGGTTTATGTCCCTCGTTGATCCATGTTTCATCTAAATAAAATATATTTCTTCTTTGGTTTCTCATTTCTTTTATAGTCCTTAGGTAATTTCTTCTCCATACTACAATATCGCTTCTTTCTATGAAAATAGACTTTCTGGAATGCTTTTTCCATAGAAAACCTATTTCTTTTAAAAGTTTCCATAGTGTGCTTCGACTCATTTCAGGGTAATCCTTATCATCTCGAACCGTGGCAAGAACTTTGTCTACTGTCGGAAATTCTTTTCTAAAGAAGAACGCATGCACTTTCCTTCGAAGTCTTTCTTTCAAAATATTTTCTAATTGAAATTTTGGTTTTCCTGGAGCTTTACGTGCTGTTTGAAACTCGCCACATTGCTCTTCTTTAACAACTCTGTAAATCGTAGATTTCCCAACACCAAGCGTACTACTAACTAATTCCACTGTGTCATCAACACTTTTACATAAATGTTTGTCTGTAAATGATTTAAAACAATTAAATATTAATGCTTTTTCATTAACTGTTAAAGGACCGATTTTTTGTCGTTTACGCGGCCCTTCCAAATTTTCCATGATCACACTAGAATTCACACTGCACCTTGCAAGTTGCAACTAAATGACATTTAGTAAACTGTCAAGAATACACAACTTGGACCTCCTTACTAAATGGAAAACCTATAATCGCATTTTCGGTGAAATTTGTTGGGAAGGTATTTATCTACTTATAATTCGATTACTGTAAGAAATTCTTGGAATTAAAATAAAACAAAATTGGCAAATAGGTACTTATTAAAAATAATCTTAAGATACGGCTATGTAATATTTAATACACAGGGCTTTTGGCCTGTCCAAACCTTTTTCTATTGTTCTGTACAGCATATGTTTATAAAGGACCAATAAAAGACCCAAAACTTGTAATAGCTCAGGTACATTTATTACAATTTTAGGAAATATTTAGATTATTCTGTAAAAATATTGAAAATGACCGTACGTACGTAAGTTTTGCATTAGAAATGCTGTTTTATTACTCTCTCATACATAAAAATAGACTTTAACTTAATAATGGCTATATATCATGAACTAAAGATGATATCATAAAAGGAAAAACCTGATAAAAACAATTTTTTGTTTACTCCTGGACTAGAAATATTTAATTCAGATAAACATGCTATCTACTTTTTAAATACATTTTAATTATTATGTACTATTGCCTAGTATTGGGCCGCTTTGAAAAGTCCACGGGCCAGTTCTGAAAAGATGAGTAGTCCAAACCACTTTTCAAAAGTGAAAAAGTGTATTGTGCAGGCGCTGAAAATAAAGTAACTAATTTGTTGGAATTTTTTGCAAACAAAGTCAAAATATGATTTAAAAAAGAGGAAATGACAACTGACTTTTATATGTTTTAACGATGTTTTTGAATTTTCATCTCATACACATGAAAAATTACCAAAAAAATGCAAAGGTTGGAAGTATTTTGCAAATGATTTGCCCAAAAAAAGTAGGAGGTAGGTGGCACATAGGGGATTCATGGGGGTGAGTTCTGTAATTCCCCTTCATATCCTAGAAATGGTTTTAAGTATTTTCTAATCAATATCATCTTTAATTCATGACATATAGCCATTGTAAGTTTTTAAATTGTCCTCTGAGATATAAAAAGAATGTATCTCATTGATATGTACTTTTACAATATTAGTTTTTCTGGTATTGCTTATTCTAAATTACCTTTGAGATAATTTGTTATGCACGGCTTGAAACCGCACTCAACAAGTCAATAACTAGAATTAAAAACCAAACTACAACATGCAGTTATAATTTTTACATTATTCTTGAATTCTTTAACTTATTGTTCGAAATAAAATGTCGGGGTGTGTTATAATATTTTGAATAAAAAAAAAGTACCTCATAACATTCACAATAGTTCTTTAAACAGCCAGATCTTTTACAGTTACATCCCTTGGTGTGTTTCCTTATTGAAATATCACCTGCAACATCTTTTGCTTTACCGATTTTAGGCCTAAAAGCATGTGGATTCCTCTCGAGACACGCCTTAATTGCCCTGAAAAATAAAGAAACGATTTATGTTAAATATGCTTGTTTAAAATTGTAGGAGTAATACGATTTTACCCTTCTATATTATTTTTGTTCGAGTTTAGGCAGAGTTAACTTATGTTATAGACACAGATCATTTAATGTTTACAGGTATGTCATAAAATAAAACAACTAAAATTAGTCTCAAAAAACATGATGCAGGTCATTCAGATAAATTCCTTGGAAATCATCAAATAAATCCCAAAATTACCCCTATGAAATAATGAAAATTATTTTTGAATTTCCAGTGAAAACAAATTTAATGAAAATAATATTCCTGTTCTACTGACACCGCTATAACCAACTGAGCTATCAGGACATGTCACCAACATCCAAATGGTTTAAATGAACATAAGATTTCGAATCCAACCTCGTTGATAGAAAATTATCAATTATTTAACAAAATAATAATCAGCAGTTCTGTGCAAGACAGCAACGAGTAAAGTCGAAATTCTGTTAGCTCTGAAAATAACATTATTTGTATTAGTAATAGTGATACAAAAAGAAGAAAAAAACAAAAAATGTCTTCAGATAGCGATAGCAGCTATTCCAAGATGGAAAAAGATGATGATGGCAAAGGCAAAGAGAATAAAAAACATCACACTATCATAAGAAGAAATTAGGAACGCAATTTTAAGAAACACCACACATACTAATATAAATACTTTCACCTTATCATCTACAAGCTACACAAAAAACAATCCAACAAAAACTGGTCAAGATTCAACAACAAATCGAAATCCCCACCAAAAAAACTTCAACACATATACACTGCCTAACAATAAAAATGGCAATTTACAGCAGATGGGAAAATATTTAAACAACTCTGCAAAAACGAAGGAAATTACACAGAGACAATTTAATTATGCATTTTATATAAAAGGCCCTGACACTCACCAGAAAAATGCTCTCTGAGATATGGGATAACATAAAACCCAACTCCAACAATGTTATATTAAAATCTAAAGTGGGTTTTATACTCAAAACAGATAATAACAAGAAAGAGGTAAATGATCATTTGAAGAAACTAATCGCAGACAAACATATCCTAAACTTTATGGAAATTCAACTATCTAAAACTCAAGCACAATTAAATAACACAACAAATAATACTTATAGTGTGGTCATAGGTTCTGTGGAACATGACGTAAAAGATGAAGAAATAAGTAAGTTTTTGAATAATATTAAAATAGAACACAGATATTGCAAAAGAATAACCTCCAAAACAACTCAGAAGGCAACATTCTTAATAAGAATAATATCCGGATCTTACAATCAACAGAAAAGCTACTAAATGGAGGATTATACTACAAACATTAGCATTATCCAGTATATCCAAGCCAACCTCCAGCTCCCATCCCACAACCGTGTGCCCCATGGGCCCCATCATTTCAGCAAATGCAACACACAATTGTTACAAAATGCCAAGGCTGTGGAGCAGAAGATCATGCAGCATGGTCACTAAAATGCTCAAACTGACCCACTAAACCCATTGCAGGAATCCCTAACAACCCGATTAAACTATTAAATAAAAAATCAAATGAAATCGACACAAAAATAACAAAACACTGCAAAATTCATACCAATATTACAGTGCATGATCACATTCTAAATAAATACTTATCCAAACTTAATATACAGAAAAACACAAACAGAGAATTGATAACTAAACTAAGAAAAAGATTCGTTGCACAATTCAACATTGACACGATAGCACATTTCTCTGGAAACAGGATATACATCCTCATGTTTGACCTGGACGAACCTTTATCAAAATCTCCTACAGAACCTATCAACGGGATATATAACTCTCAAGTTCATGTCCCAAATTAAAATTCTATACTGCAATGTCAACAAAAAAACAACTCATAAGCAACATAATAGAAGGTCTATTTGTGGAAACAAAAACTAAAACACATACCAAAGCAAACTACAAGAACTGGGACATAATACAAAGGGAGGTAAATATAGTGAATAGAAATGTGAGGGGAGGCAGTTTAGTACAGATACATCCTGGACTAAAAATGAAAAAGACAATCCTCCAAAAATAAACAACCCACTAAACGAAGCCACCATTTTACTATACCATTTCTAGAAGATACGCTACATATCATTCTGGTCTACGTACACCCAAAAGAACATATCGAACAGTCCATTTTCAATAAGGCTGCACTTCATAAATACTGTATTGTAGTTGGAGACTTCAATATAAACAAACAAAGTAAAACACGTTAAGGACTTTTGCAACAATAGTCAGTTTAAGAAAGCGCTAACCCCACCCACATTTCACATGACCAACAATGAAGACATAACCCCCGATCTAGTTTTATACACCAAGAATATAAAAAATAATATAGTGTAAAAGTGTAAAAACTAATCCAGACATAGGATGTGAACACTCTGCACTTGTAATCACTATAGAATTGATCATAAATATTGAAGAATTAGAGAAATACAGGATAAATACTAAAAAATGCAACATGGTCAGAATAAACATCAAAATGCTGGAATTTGTAAATGGGCATGAAAATAACGTGTTAAACGAGGTCGTAATCAGAGATTTTAATGAAAAACTATGGGAAACAATTATTCAGAACTCTCCGAAAATCAAATACTACAACTCAGAACTACCACCGTATATAGTTAAACTAATCAAACCTAAAAGAAAAATATAGAGATATACCAGAAATCCCCAAATACTGAAATCAAGCAACAAATTAATGAATATAATAGGAACATAAAAAACCTTATCCAACAAAATTAAAAGCACAAATGGATCACAATATGCGAAGAAATAAATGAAGAACATGGGAAAAATACTGGCAAATAAAAAAGCTATCCAAATATAAGCCAGCTATGAACATATCAGACCTGGAAAAAAATGGCAGTCTACTCGTCCGACAAAGAAAAAACTGAAATATTTGCTGAACATTTCCAAGAAGCATTTGCTGAAACAAAAAGCCAACAATTCGATGAAACACACTATCAATTAGTAAATGCATGGTATGACGATTTCTTTAAAACAATGGAAAGGAAAATCGAGGAAGAAGACTACTTCGAGATTGTACACAAGGGTAAATCTACAGCACCTGGACATGATACTATAACTAAAGACATAGTAAGGAAACTAGACTATAATGTACATCTATATATACTAAAATATATGAATATATAGTCAGTTAGGATGGCGTGGCTGTAGATAAGAAAAAAGTCGCCTCTATCAAAGAGTGGCCACAACCAACTGATAAACACCAAATAAGAAGTTTTCTTGGGCTTTGTACGTGTACTACCGAAGATTCATAAAGAAGTTTGCAGATATTGCTAAACCACGACTCACAGAAGAAGCAAGAGGATTCTGCTGGGACAAAGACTGCCAAACTGCCTTCGAAAATTTAAAGAAGCATTAAACAACAGCGCCAATAGTAGGCTACCCACTACCAGAGGGAGAATTTATCCTGGATACTGATGCCAGAAATGTGGGAATTGGAGGAGTGCTTTCACAGATTCAAGGGGGAAAAGAAAGAGTACTGGGTTATTTTAGTAAAGTGCTCTCGAAACCTGAGCGAAATTACTGCGTCACGAGAAGAGAACTCCTGGCAGTTGTGAAATGCGTGGAACACTTCTACCAATACCTATATGGAAGGAAATTTTTAATCCGTACCGATCATGCCGCCCTTAAGTGTTTGATGCAGTTCAAAAACCCGGAGGGTCAAATCGCCAGATGGATTGAACGACTTCAAGAGTACGACTTTAAGATCGAACATAGAGCCGGGATAAGTCACAGAAATGCCGATTTTCTTTCTAGAAGATCGTGTCCAGCAAAGTGCTCCCACTGCAACAAAGCGAAATCCAAAGAAAGTGGACTACTAAGAACAACGGTAGTCAACGATGAGTGGGTCCCTGTTAAAATTAGGGAAGAACAAGAGAACGATGCCGTTCTAAAGAAGATGCGAGAATGGAAAGGAAAATCGTCGACCTACTTGGCAAGAAGTATCTAATCTCTCTCCAGTACTTAAATCGTATTTGGCTCAGTGGGACTCCTTTATCCCAGAAGATGGCTTATTAAAGAGAGTACTTGAAAATGATGATGGTTCTGAGAACAGAAGACAGTTGGTCATTCCAAGGAGTAGAGTAGCCGAAGTACTTCGTCAGTTACACGACAGTCCATCAGGAGGACATCTCGGTGTTAGGAAACCCCTTCAGAGAGTTCGGGAAAGGTTTTATTGGATGAACAGTTCCGATGATGTAAAGGACTGGTGTGCTATGAGTAATGGACCTCAGCGAAAAATGAAGACTCCCATGAAGCAATACAACGTTGGTAGCCCATTTGAGAGGATCGCTTTAGATATTGCTGGACCATTCCCCGCGACCGAGGATGGTAATAAATACACGATGGTGGTTATGGATTATTTCACGAAGTGGGTGGAAGTCTACGCCATTCCAAATCAAGAGGCCGCAACTGTTGCAGATGTGTTGATTAAAGAGTTTATTTGTCGATTTGGACTGCCCTTGGAGATCCACAGTGACCAAGGCAGAAATTTTGAAAGTCAACTTTTCCGTGGAATCTGCGAAAGACTTGGCATGAAGAAAACCAGAACCACAGTCCTGCACCCACAATCCGATGGAATGGTAGAGCAAATGAATAAGACTATTGGCAAATATCTATCAAAAGTGGTTTCAAACCATCAACGAGATTGGGATCAGTATCTTTCGCTCTTTGCAATGGCTTATAGATCCGCTGTCAATGAATCAGCAGGCCAAACACCAGCAAAGGTCCTGTTTGGGCGTGAGATGAGACTACTGGGCGACCTCGAGTTTGGATGCCGACCTGGGGAAGATTTAGCCGGTGAAGATTATGTAATCCAACTACGACGAAAAATGGACGACATGCATGCATTAGTTCGCTCGCATCTCCAAATCGCCAGCGACAGGATGAAGAAACGGTACGATATTCAAGCTACGGAGGAATATTTTAAGGAAAGCGAAAAAGTCTGGCACCATAACCCAAAAAGACAGAAGGGGGTTATTCTCTGAAGCTTCAAAGGTGTTGGGAAGGTTCGTACGGTAAACCGAAGGTAGTTCACCAAAACCGGCTAGCTCCATTTGAGGGTAACCATGACGAGGAAGAAGTAAACCAGCTCCAAGAAACACCTGACCTTGTCTTTCAAGAATTTATGGGTGCATATGGAGGTAATGGAAAAGCCAGATATGGTGTTACGACCGAGCAACAAGATCTTCTCTCGCTTCCAAAAGTCTACTGGTCCATAGTACTTCCGCCAGCATCAACGACGCGCGAGGACTGGAATATGTGTAAAAAGTTAGGTCGACTGCTAGAACTTCAATGTCAGTTACCAGCCCCTGGAAAAGCTTTGAAACTTCAAGACGAATCGCACTACCTTTTCTATTTGATAACGAAGAACATCTTCCGAGATCAATCCACTTATCATGATGTATGGGAAGGATTACTCAGTTTAAGGAACACGTACTGGAGTCTAATGTACACAAGCTAGCCATGCCGAAGATAGAAGGAAATCAGTTGGATTGGAGGATCATTAGGAACATGGTGGAAGTAATCTTTCAAGATACCGGAGTCCAAATACTGGTCTGCAGCCATTCGCCCAGGGTCCAGGTTAAAACAAAGACAGTCCCTTGTTACTTCCATGCAACTGGAAATAATAAAAGAGGGTTCAGTTGCAGATACAACCATTCCGTTTTAATTTCGTAAGAGTTCCAGGAGGACCTATCTCTTAAGGAGGAGGCAATGTAATGCGAGCTATTTCATTATTCAGTCATGCTCTAATCCTACAAGTCCCTCTCTGTCTTATTTGGCCTTTGAGGCTCAACTTGTCCGATTATCATACATAATTAAACCCCTTAAGACCAAACATATGTGACGACTATGGCGGAGGCGCTTTCGCGTACATTCCTGAGTCAACGTGATAATGTTTCTAGTATATTCCAAATATAACGAGATATTTCTAGTTTGGCGGAGGAGCATTGTGGAAGCCACCAGAATTTTAAATTTGTATATAAATATTGGTGGAGGATCAACGCGGGAATCAGTTGTAGATAGACAGTGGTGAATATAAATAGTGAACAGTTTAAAGACATTCGAAATATATATAAACTAGAATAGTATTGTTTAAAATAAAAAGTGTTTAAATAAATTATTAATAAATAAACTGTTGTTTAAAATAAACAAACATCACAATATTTTTCAATACGAAAATAATTTTTAGCTTTAACAGTGGCGTGCCTACGGCAAAGGAGTATAAGTCAAATATTTAGAAGCTGAGTAAATCTATGTTATATAATAATATGTCTTATAAGTTGACTTATACTTATTTTCCCAACAAGAAAAAGTATTTTTGTAATTTATATTATGAAATCAGTAGAGGACGTTTTACTCTAAGTATAGATACTGAAACTAATTTACCCAAAACTTTGACTTATACTCCTTTGTCCACAGAGAAAGAAAGCAAGAAATAAATGGTACGCCAATGGTTTTTTCCCAAATAAAAATTATTTTTAAATATCCCGTTCAATTTTAAACTTAAAGGACAAAAAAAATACATTTGGACCATAGTTTATAAAGCAATCTATGACTAATTTTTTATGTAGATTTATACCCTTAAATATTCGGATATCAGCAATGGATAAACATAGTATGCCTGTGTGTGTTGCAATGTACGTATTTATTGAGTATATATTCAATAATACCGTAAAAAGTAGCACATTGTGTATTAATGACATTATTTCCTTTCACTCGCGTTTAACGTAAATGTAATCATAAAATGATCCGAGTTTAATTATTAAAGTAAATTTTTATTTTATATAAAGTTAATAACTTATTAGATTATTTATAATGACCATTCTTACCTATTTCGGTGTTCTTCATTTTCTAAGTTATTGTTACAGTTCATACAATTACACATGTAGCAAAATTCTCCATTTGCAAAACAGTCGCAGTACAATTTAAGGCATTGAGACTTGTTACAATTACATGGTTTCCTAGGTCTCATGCCATTAGCATCCACTTCTTCTTTTGGTAGAACAGGAGACATATTCTCGTTGGGGGTAGCAGGAGGTTTAAGAGTAGGCGTGGGTTTTGGAGAAGGAGGAATTGCAATTTTAGAAATTATGGGTGTTACTGCATTAGTTGCAGGTATATGTGCAGGAATAACCATTAATGGAGTACTTGTTATAGATTTATTATTAGGGGAAATTGGGATTTTGTCTTTGGGGATTTTGGGAACTATTCTATTTAATGTTGTCATTGGCTGTAAAATTAAATAGTTACACATTTATTAATAAAAAAAACTTTTTAAATCTAAGTTGTTTTAAAATGTGAGGGAAGACCAAACACTTCGGTAATCAACATTTTTTATTCAATTAAATTAGTAACATTATGTAAAACTTGTTAATAGGGACTATTGTATAAAATAGTGCAGTAAATTACATAATTTATAACAATTTATGGGACGTTCAAGTATTACGTAAGCAAATTTTCAATTATTTTAGACCCTCATAAGAAAACATAATAAAATCGTGAACCCCGTTCCCCTAATGATAAGTAACACAAATTAAAATTTAAAAAACGAATTATTTTTTAAATTAACGTATTAAAATCAGAAAATTAAGAATCATTAATTGTCCACAACACGGACTCCATATCCAAGTTTCTACGTCATTAACAATTTGTAGCTTCTCTTCACAAGTCAGGCCAAAGTTGGATTATTAATGTCAATAACAGATGACCATGTAGTACGTCTAACCCCAACCCCCGGAATTTGAACATCGGACATTTAAAAAGTCTATTATACATAGTAGTTCTCAGAACACTAATTTATTTCTAATAAGAAAGGACGCTGCAGTTTTGGTCCTCCGGATTAAGTGTCCATGGGCACAAAGTTTACTAGTTTTCGAGATAGGGTGTTGAACTTTCAAATTATTATAATTTTCAAAAATTCTTTAGGACATAAACGTAGTTTTGCTGACATTTTAAAATATTAAAGGTTATGGTTTGGCTCTATATGACTACCAAAATATAATTCTAACCATTTTGGAAAACAATTGTTAAAGGCGTGTAATTGTTTTTAAATTAAAGTATAAAAATTGAAATTTTTAATAAATTGTTTTACGCCTAAAATAATAATAATAAATGTATTATATTGTAAATGATACTTTTCACTATTCCACACCATCTTAGTGGTTCTTCTCCAGTAGGTAGGCAATCCAGAATTGATGACGAAATTACATTTTTTAAACATTGATTTATTTCAATATTTTAATAATTACGTCACGAAATAAGACATTCGTTGTGAGTTTCCCTGTATATTATGTGGACTTATAAACAAAATTTTAGTTTTTGTACCTTTTTTGCATTGGCGAATATATAAAAATAAGTATTATTAATTTGTATTTTTATTGTAAATTCTGTAGAAGGCAGCAAAAAAAATTGATCCCTTACAAAAAAAAAAAAAAAAAAATAGCCATAGGAACATGGATTAACTTCACGTAAACATTGTTATTTTAATATATCAAAAGCATACTTGATTTGGCCAATTATCTCTCTATGGGGAGTTTTGTAAAAAATTGCAATTTTTGTATTTTTCAACCTTATATAACTTTTCACTCGAAGTATATTTTATTGAAGTGATGTTGTTTAGGACCCGTTACGATATACAGCGTATATTGTAAAATATAGCGACACTCACCGTACCACCTATTTGGCTCACCCTGTATACATGTATTTTTTTATAATAATAAAGTGCCGTTTACAGCCACTTATATAAATATTATATTTATTATCACTGTTTTAGGCGTAAAATGATTTTTTTAAACATTAAATTTTTTAATTTAATTTAAAAAATTACTCATCATGTACAGTTGTTTTCCAAAATAGTAGCTTGGTAGTTATAAATATCATAGAGAGCCAAACCATAACCTTTAATATTTTTGAATGTTTTAAAAATTTTTGAAAATAAACATCCTGTATCTCGAAAACTAGTCATAGATAACTGTCCCTGGACACTTTTAATTATGAGGTCAAAAACTGCAACATATATAAAATTCAAGAGAGGTCATTTGAAAATAAATTCAGTATAACCATATAGAAAATAGTATTATTTATTTAAATAGTATTGTTAATTTAAATATTTTGAAAACATTTTCATTATTTTATAAATATGTTTTTTATATTACGTAAGATTTATAAGATCCCTGTTCCCTTTGTCAGTAAAAATTAAAAAAATTTGAACCCCGCCCCCTAAGCATGTTTAAGCAATACTTGAGCGCCCCATTATTCTTCTAAAAGTCTTTACTAAAGTGACCCGTTTTGCCGTTACCTAGTAATCACATCTTATCCTCACTTTTTCAAATATCAAAGTTGGTTAATGACATTAGTTTTCTGCCAAATTGGAATTTAAAAAAAAACATCAATGCGGTACCTAGCCAACTTTAATATGGGCTATTTTAGTTTTTAAAAAAGCAGAGATGAACGTTGTACGACGTTTTTTTCCAAACGTAATTTAAAAAAAAAATCCTATATGGATCCAACTTTATGGAACACCACTGTACATATAGGTTAATTTTGTAATGGTTTTTATTCTAAATTCAGTGATAAGTCACATTTAACATTTCTTCCACTGGTGTTTCATTTATTACAAGCAAATATAAAATTATCGAAATTTTAACACACAATAAACAATTTGAGTGCTCTGCTACAAAGACATTATAATACATCTAGAAAAATGTTATGTTATAAAAGTAATGAATAAAATTTAATAGTTTATAAGAGAATATATTCTTATCCATATTAAAAAATATTTGTACCATTTTACAAGATTTTATAAAAGTATACCTTAAAGAGTCATATGATCATAAAAGAGTGGATTCAATTACACTTTAAAAAGTTTACAAACAATATAATCCGACAATTCATTTCTAAGAATTTTTAGTGTCTTTTCAATGAAAATAATGTTAACCAATATTATTAGCACATAAATATTACCCAAATCTGATATATACAGGATGTCACAAAAGTCGACACACTGTTCGAGTTCAACATAAACAGATCAGAATGACACGGTAAGTATGTTTTGGATAAGCAATTATAACGGATTCATAATTATTTTATAACCAATACCATCTACAAATATAATTAAAACAAAAATAACAACATCTAATTTTATTTTGTGGAATTTGTGGTTGTCTTGCCAATTGGAACTGAGCGCGAACTGAACTTAGTTTATAAATCCACCCTTAGGGAGGCGAATGCTTGCATTATTTTTAGACGAAAACTTTTAATAAATAATAAATCCTTACTGACTTCGTTACTGAGTTACAAAGTGTTAATTCTAAAGTGTTTTTAAATTTTGCTTTTATAAGGCAGTCTCTACATGCCACATTCTATCTTTGTTTCTTTTATCACAGCTCTGGAAATTATGTTTCAAAAAATTTCGAACACTGCATACAAAATGATTTATGACAAAATTTTTCTTGTTTTTAAAAAATTAATTTATCACACCTTTGTTCTCAATTTCCACTTTATTATTTTTTTTTTTAATTTGTACGTAAGAAAAATAATTTAGTATATATTAAAATATGCAAACATGAATTTTAAAGGATCAGATAGAAAAAGGAAATTAATAATATGGAAATATCGTATCACGATATTTGTGTATATTTTTAATCATACCTTTCATCATAATATATCCCAATACGAACACTATAAATACAGCCCTGCGGTGTCAAAGCCATGAGAGACTGTATCGTTGATCCAACGCCATTTGACTTGCGACTTTTTGAGTTCAAAAGGTTCCGCCAAAAGATGTGTAGCTGATAATGAATAAGATATACCATAAAATGGATCATTTGTGTGTTGTTCATGAAATAGATGTTGACTTCTAGTTAAGCGATTTGGTAGGGTCCAATTACAATTAGAAGAACACAGCTACGTCATCATTTGGCAAAGTAATTAATTGGTTATCGCCGCCTACTGGGGGTATTAATATTATAGGAATATAGCAAATTTATTTTTTTATTTATTTATTCATCCAAACAGGCCTATTGGCCTAATTACATGGATATCCTTATGTATAATATTGTTTGATTAAATAAATATATATTTTTTTTTAAAGAAAAGTAGAGTCTGAAAACAAAAACCAAGAAAAGTAAATTAAAATAGAATAAAATGACATAAAAATTACAATCAGGTATTCAGAATTAATTCCAATATTTCGTTATGAAAAACTGTTTCAGATTTAGACCAATCTAAGAGAATTAAGGTATTAACCTGATTTGCTAGTCTAAGTGTGTTTGCAAGAGGAGCCCGAGATGTTTAGAACTTATTGGGAATGTTGAATAAACAAATATTGTTTTATACCTAACAACTTACTTATTTTTTATTTATTGATAGTTATAGATAATATGTATTCGAAATTGGTTATGACGTAGCGGTGTTTTTCTAGTTGTAATCAGACCCTATCAGTTAGAGAATGTAGATATTTATACAAAAAGAGCAGCATAGCTATTTTTCGCCGATGTTCTAAGCTCTTCATGCCACACAATAGTTTCAGAAGGTACGTTGACCACTAGACTCTTAATTTGTGTAACGCATATTTGGTGAACTTATTCTGTACCATTTCTGTCCAAAATTAAAGAATAATAAAAAAACTTGATTGTTTTTATAAAATGTGAACCGCAGTTACTCATTACATCTTTGTATCGACGCCACGCTACTCCACTGATTATAGGATCAATATGTGATCCTTCGGGCACACCAGATTTGACCTTTAATTATTCGTGAAATACTACGGCCCACACTAACAAACTGAGTACGATTTAGTACGATTCAAAAGTTCATAGAAACAACCACTAGACCAATAGCTTTGAGTTTTCTAAGTAGGAAAGTGTGACAAACACTATTAAAGAATCCGTGTTGCCCTTTAATAATATAAGATGCCTGATAAGATGAGCCGTACAAAAATATTATGAAAAAGTTCTAAATTTTGTCAGTTAAAATGCAACCCCCTGCATATCACTAATGAAAGTATTAAGGAGACTGTTCTAAAATAAAGTCAGTTTGTCGAAGTACTTTTAGGACATCCTGTATATTAAAATTGAAAAACTTTATCATAGGCTGTAAATGATTTTATAACATTGAGAATTATGATTCTTAACTTAAACTATAATATAAAAGTTTAGGTTACCTTGACTTCAGATAAAACAATGTTTGTTGGAGCCACCGAAGTAGTTTTTATACTTCCTGTTGTACTGGTCGTTATGGGATTTATATCTGGCGAATTGGCTGTTACAAACTTGATATATTGCATCTAAAGAATTAAGACAAAAATAAATTAATTGAAATACATTTAATATTAATATACATCTAGCAATTTTATCAAAACAATTTTACTCCCTAATTTTATCAACAACTTATTTTATTTTTAGTTTTGGACATTGAGATTAAACAACTTTCTATATATAAATTTAGGCAACTACCCATTATTAATTACAAACGAATTCAATTTCCTATTCAAAAGGTAATAATAAGTATGATGTGTATTCTTATACCAAAAGTTTTTGAGATTAGCTGCACAAAGATATTATGTTATGCCAAAGAAAGATCACCGTTGAAGTATATTACATTATGAGCGCGGTAAGTGACATTTTTCACACGAGTAGCAAATATCTCACTTTTACATATGTACATTATTTTTCCTTCAACAAAATAATTTCATTGCAATTTGTAAAACCAGGAAATCTGGCAAAGGAGGTTCAATCAAAATGTGACTGGTTCTAGGTTTGGTTTTTACTTTCCTTATTGGTTTTGAATAATTTTGAAAGTATTTTTCAGATGGTGTTTTGTCAAAATTAAAAACAGCGATTCCATTTACATATACTTTCATAGCCTCTGCTAAATAAAGGTATAACAAATATTAGGTACATAAATATTACAATAAAATAAATAATTTTTGAAAATTCGGAAACAAATCTCAAAAAAGATGTAAACAAATACTTGCAGATTTTAAAAAAGCCTATCGTCGCCGGGTTTCGAACCCAGACATCTTTGTTCTGTATACAAATTCCCTTACCTCTAAACCATGACAACATTTACTGTCGAGATTCCTAGACAGCAATTTGATGTACTAGTTCGTCAGACGCCATTTCAAACTCGTTCTCAAATCTTCAAATACCTCTATATATCATCAGTATATATGAAAAATACATTGATGCATACTAAGCCCATATCTTCATCTGCATGAATTAAGTTTTCAATGTACGTTAAGACTTAAACCTGAGTATGAAAAAAGTATGTCTTCACGTTTGGGGTTCGGAGGTGGTCTTAATAATTCGTATGGGACTTTTGAGATTTGTTTCCGAATTTTCAAAAATTTGAAACATTTCAGATAATTCTGACCTTTCGGATTTCGATTCGCGATACATTAAATTCACAATTTTTAATGAAATAAATGTTTTTCATTAGCTTATTTTTAAAAAAGCAGAAAATAATAAAATGAACAAAAGTGAATAAATTAAAGATGACCTAACCTACCATACTTTCTTACATTCAATTTTTTCTGACCCGTTATCAAAATAGATACAAAATAAATGGCAGAAAATTTAATAGATAGATGAAACAAAATAGAAATGATGCATTTGATAGAAGAATCGGAAAGTAGATTCTTATCTACACTGTATGATATATGACACTGTTCATAAGATTAAATAGTGCGATATATGTCACTTTCCTACATAGTCATTCTAATTGAAGAAATATTGACAATTCCATAGTAAAGTAGTGCGGAAGTAGTCTGTCCCCTCCTAAAATAAAAATTTAGGGCCTCAAGAGGGTTTTACCTTTGTTTTAAATACAGAGTTTACAGTAAGACTAAGATCCACACTGTACACATATAGGTTGTTTGTTTGAACCTGTTCCTTGTAAAAACTCTAAATACATGTACAATATGAGACACTGTTTTGCAGTCATGATTAATAAGGACTGGCCATGCTTTATGCCATGGTCATGCTTTATGGCCACTGGTTATGCTTTATGTTTACTTATTTCATATGTTAGTGAAATGGCTTATAAGTAGCCTTATTTCTTCATGGTTTTACAAACAACATTGAATAACTTGTATTGTTTCTATAGTAAATTATTACAACACAGAAATCACTTTGATTAAATACATGCACATAAAACAATGTTACAGGCGTGTGGATGATTCTTATTCTTTGCGGAGCTGCCGTTCCAAAACTAGGGACAAATTTTTGTTAGAGCTTTTGCTAGACTTACATTACATAAGATAGACAGAAAGAGTTATTGCAAAAACATCTGATTTTGGTACCTAATTTGCTTAATTTAGAGAGTAACGTCGAAATCATCATACTTATTATGTATTCTTTGACTTCGAAAGGAAATTATTATTTTAAAAAAATATTCCCGCCGCGTCTTTAAAGAAAAAAGCAACTTACTCCTTTGCCTGGAATATTAATTTGATGTAGCTGCCCACTGTTCAAACTTTGCGATCCTGTAAGCTGTAAGATTTGTCCTTGTGGTAAAATTGTTTGATTGCCTGCTGCAGTTTTAAAAATTATCCTCTGCGCAGTTTTGCCACCTGCAATCGATCCAGCAGGTAAAATTTTTGTAGGAGCTTTAACTTGGTTTAAAGTAACTGTTTTTGCATTCGATACTCCTGTAGCGATAAGTTGAGGCGAACTGATTTGAGGTACGAATTTTATAGATTTTTGGAGACTTTTATTTAATAATACTGTTTGTTTGCTGGTAGACTGACCAGTTTGTGTAATTTTAGCATTGGCTATCAAACCCATTTCTTGAGCTTGCTGCAACGTCAACGTTTTTGTGGGAGCTTGTACCCCTTGGACCATTCCTTGAGTTTGAAGTAGTTTTAATTGCTGTTGATCAGCTTTTTGCACTACCATAAAATGCTGAGTTTGTTTTGGTAGAGTAGCTATTTGTTTTGTTGTAGTTTTTTGATTAGTCCCCATTCTCTTCATCAACAATGGTTTTTGTTGAACCAAAGAAATGTTTCCAGTTGGTGAAGACATTGTTTTAAAGGTAGGCTTTAGAGTTATAGGTCTGGTCATTATATTTGTTAAGTTAATTTCGTGGCCTTGTGGGGCAACTAATTTTATTGCTTGTCCTGCACCTCCGCCTAGAAAAGACAAAATTGTTTCTGATGAAATTTTATAATGTCAATACTACATATTCTAATAAATCTTTTAAATCGTTGCCAATCACATTGGAAATAATGTGTATGGTACAGGGCACAACGAAAGTTACTTTTATAAAAGGTAAGTACACTTTTTACAAAAATGAATACTTGAGAAAAAGCACATAGTACAACACAGAATAAAACAAAGTATACGAACATAACTATAGCTGTATATTAAATAACTATAGTAAATATTATGTTCTTTCAAAGCTTTAAGAAGAGTTTGAAAATTTAAACATTTTCAAATGAATCATTATTAATTGTAAGTACGAGGATTGTTCGGTAACTACGTGGCCTAAGGTGAACAACGCACGAGCCGCGGCGGATGGCGGTTGTGCGGATATTAATTTATATATGCAGACAACGCACTGGCATCCTCACGGTTACGCCAGTGCGGATGCCAGTGCGTTGTCTGCATCTATATAAATTAACATCCGCGCTACCGCCATCCGCCACGGTTCGCTGGTTATTCACCTAACACAGAAATGGCGCGAATGCGGATGCATTTTCTTTACCTACCGTTCTGCATCTAGTTGCTGCGTTTGAGAATCCACATCGGATGCATCTGAGATGTAAAAAATCTTTGATCACGTGATTCAGTATACGTAAATGTAATGGGACAGATGTGTCCGATGTGGATAAAAAAACGCTCGAGATGTAAAAAATGCATCCGATGTGGATTCTCAAACGCAGCAATTGTAATGGGTTAAATATGACAGTACAGAGCGATCTGTCAATTAGTCTGTTTTAGACAGTACGAGAAAGTGAACATCTCATGTGATTTTGTAAACAATGGAAAAAACTGTGTTGAGAACAGTTGGACTTCATCATATTCGTTAACATTCCTCGCATATATCTACAAATGAGGTTTTATGTACACTGGAATACTTGAATTAGCAGTTACATAAACATCTTTTGTACTTCTTTTTAGTTACTTCCTGTGACAAATATTTATACGATGTTAATTTATATAACTAACAATAATATCGTATACAGGTCAGCACAGTAATGTGTACAAGTTACACATCTTTATAAGACTGAGATTCCTTACACTTGGAGAAGAAAAACCAAGGGCAACTAGCTATACCGGAGAACTACTTTCCAGTCTATGGAGTTTACTACAAAAGACCGCATTAGACAAGGTACTCTAAACAATGATTAAAGGATATCCACAATAGATCTGAAAAGGTCGAGGTGGGGGAGGCCACATGGCCCATAGTCCTAATTAAATCTAACAATCTAACAATCTACACATCTTTAAGATGGGTATCTTTAGTCTTTACATCGCAGACCTGGCAGACCTAACAGTAAGTCCCGCGTTCATAGATAGAGATACCAATGAACGCTTGCTACTTACGTAACCGGTAGTACTGTATTATGGAGCAGTCTGTTGCTCAGTATTATTAAGTATTTCATCAAAGTTTAACACATAAAATTTAAAAGACAAGATAAAAATAAAAAGGTATGAACTGTATCGTATTTGGAATGTCACATTTGGTTCATTAATATGATTGTCATATCCGATTTGTTAAAAAGACATCATTTTTGGGAACTTTAACATTGAATAACGTAACAAGGTAGCGCTATAATATCACCGCAACGTCTACATTGATTCATGACAAAAAAAAAACTTCCCTACTCTGGGCTTAGACGGTTATGAGTCCATCCTATAGATGAAAACAAGAGCAAAAATAAGAGTTACAACGTAACAATGTGATGTAAAGTTCTCATTAATTTAACGTTTTTATGCATAGTGGGATATATTGTTAACAATAATGTATGAATACACAATATATTGCACAGTGTGTTCCAAAAAGTTTTATACACATGAAAACAAGTTTTATCTTATTTATGTAGCAATTATAGAAAATAATTTCTATATCTAACCCAGCGATGCACATACCGCGGTCAGCGGGCCGCATGCGGCCCACTGTCGATATGTATGCGGGCCCGCCAACGGATTTTTATAATTGTAATTCATACTATTTAAAAATTAAAAAAAAATTGTTAATTAGTATTGTTTGTAGTGGCCCGTCCTTGGCTTATTATTTTCCCGAGTGGCCCCTGTTCCCTATAAGTCTGTACATCCCTTCTAACCTAACACAAACAATTGTAGTGAGTTAAAAAAAAATATAAAATATTAAAAAAGGAAAAACACACAACACCACTGGAAGTTACGAGTAAAACTCAGGAGTTGCAAGTCCATTTTTAGCGCTAAAATATTACAATTAAATATATCACAGACAAGAGTAAAATTTATTATAGTCCTTGCACAAGAGATCAATAAACGTATTTTGTCCGTAATCGGTTCTGTATTTTTACGTTCAAAAGTGATGTGTGCAGAGTCCGTGAGGCAGGAACCAATAGTTGAACTTTCTCAAGCAGTGACCCCCACTCGATAGAACCACCTATTAATTTAGCCAGAAATAGGAGTAAAGCTTGTTTTATTCTGCATTCCAGGTTCTGCGTGTCAAAAATCAATAATTTTGTTTAATAGCATGTGATAAGACTATGAAATCGGTGTTTAGGTCAAGTATTTTACTAATTTATTTTGCACCCTTTTAATTCTATTGATATGACAGGTGTAAGTAGGTTGCCAAATAACAGTATTCCAGGTCACTTCACACCAGACCATTTTAAAGTATCATGCTTGTTTCTGTCATTCAAGTACCTAGTATGTCTCTAGATGAGGCCAAGTATTCTGAGGACTTTGCATATTATGTGGTTGTTAAAAGATATTGTGGTATCAAAAATAATGCCTGGATTAATAACTGTCGAGGAACTATCAAAGTATACGCTGTCAATAATATAATAGTTAAGAGTAGGATTATGGGATCTTATAAAATGCATGATTGTGTACTTAGAAACATTTATACAAGGTGGCGCAAAATCCAGTACCCTATGGAATGTTGTCATGGGTTCGTTTGTAGTTGACATATGTTTGAGTTTTTCTGTCAGTTGCAAAGTAGATACTTGGGAAATTCATTATGAATCGATATACGCCTCGAGAATGTGCCGAAATCGTAAAATTTTTTATCAAAATTATTCATCGATTATCAGAATTTTTCCTGAACGCCTTATCTTGAAAAACGCCGATATTGCATATCCGCCAAGGTCTCCCGATTTAATTGTTCCAGACTTTTGGTTATGAGGTTATCTCAAAGATAGGGTATTTGTAAATAATCCTCGAACAGTAGAAGCATCAAAAGACAACATCCGGGAAGAAATTGACAGAATACCACCTGAAATGTTGGAGAAAGTTATAAAAATGCTTTGAAAAGAGCTCAATATTGTATTAATGCTGGGGGTGGCCATTTGGTCGATATTGTTTTTAGTGTGTAACAAAACAAACTTTTAGAGTTTAAATAAATATTTTTCATTTATAATATGACTGTTGTTTAATTAATCTTACTTTTATATAAAAAACAAATTGGGGACTTTATTTTGCGCCACCTTGTAGAAAGTGTGTTATTTTTACACCAGGTAACAAACCTATTTAGATCATACTGTAATGAGGAGTTATTACCAGTGTTTCTACTAAAAACTTTAAATCATCTGCGAAAAGAAAAGTTTGGCTATTAAGAAAGCAGGACGTAACATTATTCAAGTATAAGGAAAACAATAGAAGACCGGAGTGGATGGCTCAGTGGTAGAGTCTCTGCCTGCGGATCCAAGGGTCCCAGGTACGAATCCCACCTTTGGCCGGGATTTTTTTATTTAATTTAATTATTTAAAATTAATTCTGATGCCTTGGTAGGATTCCCTACTCGACCATTCACTGTTGGGTTCTAATTAACAGTGCTGTTCCTAAAGTGGCGCTGGGAAACAGTATCAAAACCTACACAGAACACGAGGCGATATATAATGTTATCATTTGAACACGATGACACAAAAAAAATAGACCAATATGTGAACCGTAAGGAACACCGGACAGGACTGAAATGTCACATGATATAATTATTTATGATTTACCCAATCTAATTAGAAGCAAATCCTCTTTGTGGATTAAATAACATTTTGTTGTTTCCTTACAAATTATGCAAATTTCACTCTACAAAATCCTCCCGAAATACCACTTGACTGAAGGAGGATTTCTTTTCGTGAAATTTAGATGCATAATTTCCAAAGAAACAACAAAATGTTCTCAATAAATTATCACCTCTTGTGGTATTACCCTTGAAAATACCATTCTTATGTTCATTAAATCAATTTAAAAATAGAATCAAAATATCATAAATTAGTCAGTTCCTTCACTTTTCTTTCATTACATGTTTATTTATTTTTTAATTTGATCTTCAATATTCGTATTTATGTTTATTTTTATTATTATATTCCTGTTTCAGCCTTATTAATATTTAAAATGTCCTGTAATTGGGTGTACTCCTGTTTGGATAATAAAGGATATTTTTTTTAAGCACTATGACAATTGATACGACTTACTCAAATACGATTTAATCCAGTTAAGATAAAGACCAGATATACCGATTTCAGAGAAGTTCTTGGGTAGCAATTCATGATACACTGTCAAAGGCTTTTGACAGATTGGAATAGATGGTGTCATCCTGGTAACCATTTTCAATTGATGAAATTAAGTCTTGATAGATTGCCAGATTAGTTGCTGTCAAGCGGTCTTGATAAAAGCCATGTTGTTGAGATGAGATATAGTTTTTAAATGTGTAAAACATTTCATCTGTTGGTATGGATATAATGGAGATACCTCTATTCGCTCAGTGCGAAGTCATGATAGGGGAAGCAAAAGCGATACTAGCGCTAGCTGCGGATAATTCGTGCATTTTAGGGCGATATTTTGTAATTTTGGCATATCAAATACTTGATACATTTTACTTTTTTTTTTTTTTTTTTTCAAAAAAGTAGGTAAAAATACAATAAGCAACCGGAGTTGCTGTGTTGAAAATTGTAAAAATACCAGCAAAAAAATTATAAAAATTTTCAGTAGCAAAGTGGAAATTAAATCAAAGAAATAAATGGATAGTTGCGTAATACTGCAAATAGTAGAAATCAGAAAACTTGGAAGGTTTCAAATAAACAATAAATTATCAGTTTACGATGTTCTTCAACATCCCTTTAATCTTAAATGTTCAGAATAAACTAGATTTCTGCCTTTGATTATTGTATGTGGCTGGAATGCAATTTTGTGACTTACTGATAGGAAACCAGTTTTAATCATTCAATGTTTTCTTTCAAACAAAAATTGATTATACTTATTTTTTTTTTTTTAGTTTAAGCGATAAAAATATATAATAATAATAATAATAATAAATTATTAATGTTTTACTTGTTTTACAAATCCATATCCATTTATTAAAACTAACATATATACTTTTTAATTACGAATTCTAATAAAAATTGTATTGACAGTATACGCAAAAAGAGTCCATTAATATATAAATGAATTGGCTCTGCTGTCACGCATAAAGTGAATAATTCTTTGTCGTTTTTATCACTTTTCTTGTAAACTGGTGGCATAAGGTGGGAAAACTTCCAAGCAGAGGGAAAGATTCCACTATCAAATGATTTTTGGTAAATTTGGCTAAAAGGAATTTATAAAGAGTCACAGCAACCCTTTCAAGAACGATGGTGGTACCCCATCAGAGCCCGCAATTTTGCTAGTCAAGACTTTATTATAGAAGATACTTTACAAGAAGTGAACATGTGGGTGGGTAAAAGCGGAATAGGTAAAGAAATGTTAGGCAACTTAAGAAAAAAAAAACAATTCAATTATTATTATTATTCCAAGAGTAAACCCCTGGAAAAATGTTGTACACTACACATTGTGTACCAAATAGTAGATAAATAGTACACAAATAGAACAGAAATAGTACTGATTGCTTGTACACCATAGTACACCTGTGGTGTTCCTGCCGTCTATTATGGTCCACTAGGAGAAAAAAAAAAGGGGATTTATTGATATTTTAATTTAAAGTCTGGAAAGAAACAATGTGGTGATTATCATAATAACATGAACACAGACAATTTATGAAATGATAAAGAACACAGTTTGTGCCAAATTCAAAACCAAATAGTGTATTTATTTAAAAATAACATGTTTTTGAGTCTAAAATAACATTTCTTATATTTAATTATCATCACCATGTGCAAATTTATTTTTTGGTTAAGAAACTTTTTGGTAAACAAACTTTTCAGACTATTGTAATATATTATTTTTGTATTTTATTGAGAAAGGATACTAAAAACCAATTAAGAAATTGAAGTCAAACTCAGAGGTGAAACCAGCATAAGATACATAAAAGTGGACAAAAGATGTCATGAGGAGACACCTGACAGAATTGTTAAAAAGAATAACGAAAAGGATCCCACTGTGGCCAAGTAGAAGAAGATATAGAAGATGCATATACTAGCAATAACAGACTAGAATCAAAATGCAAAAATAGGAAGGAATGGAGAAAATAATTTGTAACATGCTTTAGGAAAATAGGAGCAATCTAAATCAACAAATGGATTTTATGAATTAGGATAATTTCCTGACCATAATAAAATTTTACATAAATAAAAAGTTTCTTGGTTTATTTGGTCAAATAGTTTTTATTATTTATAATTTAAGCACTATCTATTTGACCAAATTAAACCAAGGAACTTTTTATTTATATAAAATGGATTTTATATGTAAGCCATAATCTAAAGATTGAACAGCTGGATGATTGATGCTGTATTTTATAAATAATTTAGTGTCTAATCTCTATTCAACTTAAACGCAAGTAACGCGTAATCGCAATAGCTCCATCGCATGATACACACAAGCCTGACAACTATTGGCCAGCCCAGTGATCCGGATTTGAATATTTCCCTACCCTGTAGCTCAATGTGCTGTGGTCAAGGGGCTATTGTGTTTATGTATAACTTGCGTTTTAGTTGAATAGAGAGTAGAATATATTTTTCTATGATTCACAGATATACACTTATCTTCTAAATAATGTAAAAGTTTCATATTTGTAAAAAAATTATAAACAAAAATAGAGTTGTCTGGATGTCTCTATAAACAAAAAGATGACAATTGATTCAGATGATTTGATCTTGTTAGCTTATGAAAACTCTTGTATACTACATACAGTACACCTAAAATGAATTGTTCAATTATTAACAAATTATTGTAGAAATTTGTATTCTATTTTATTATTACAGTTTTTAAAATAAGTGTAAATTAAGCTTTATTGATCTTACTTAAATTGTATTATTTGGTACTTACCTTGTAAAAGTAACAAGGGTTGTCCTCCAACAGACTTTACTGTTATAGGTACCTTGGTAGGTTTTGGGGCAATTGTTAAAGGTCTTAATGGAGGTAATGTGGTTGTCTTATTTGGCTTTGTTTCTAAAACTTGTTCATCAGATTTATTAGAAGGGTCTATAATAACTTCTAATTCTTCAGTAACAACTTCTTCCATTTCAACTTCTTCTTCATGTCCAACTATTTCTTGGCTCTCTACTACTATTTCATGATCTGAAAATTCAAAAATTGTTTTAGTAATTATTTTTATTTTTGGTAAATTTTATTAAACTCACCCTCGGTATCCATATCTGTAGTAGTTAAGGTTAATTCTTGTGATAAATCACTCAAATTTTGAATATCGCTACCACTGAAGCTAGATATATTGGCATCGAGATTATCATTAACACTATTAATTGACTCTACATCTCCGACTTCTTCCTCGTTTCCTGAAATATATTTAATTAAACTACAATTTAACACTTTACACATAGGTATACGTAATTTTAATTATTAATAGATCAAATTTGAAATTGGTGTAAACTATACAATTCAAAAAAATTCCATAACACAACACACACAAGCAGACGCCTATTTCAAATTGATGCCATTCTAACAGCATAAAAATTAATTTCTTAATTTTTAGACTAATCGTGAAATAATAAAGTTCTATAGTTGATACCTTTATCAGAAACGGACATTTTCAATATTAAAATTAATAATTATTCTATAAGAACACGAACTTAATTCAAAACACCATAGTCAAATTTGACAGATCACGTGACCTAATGCGCTCCAAGGCTACCAACAACAAACAAAACTCCCTATATGCGAAGAACCCCCGCTAAAGTAAATTTTTAAAAAATCTACATTGGGAAAAATAATTTAAAACGTATTTGTTAAATTTTACTAAATTATATTTCTTTAACGAAAGTAATAATTTAAAATTTATTTGAACAATTGAATTTGACAATGTTTTTAGACATTTTAGTGAAATGGTTTGTCAAAAAATAAAATAAAATAAATGCGGAACTAACAGAACATGGAAAATCCATG